GGATCATCCATAATGTCGCCCAGTATCATGGGTGATTTTAGAGGCTCACATTGAGGGAAATCCGCCTCCTATGACAAGATACCATTAATCTCATATATATATATATTATATATATATAATATATATATATATGAGAAAGAATGAGTATACTTGGACAGCACACATATTTTGTGCTTGTTAGGTGAGGTGCCCCCTCTCATTCTCATCCACTCACTTCAATTAGGGGGGACCCACATTCAACCCATGTGAGTTTGTTAATGTGCATCCCCGCCAGTTGAAATGAGTGAAGATAAAAATCGCCACCTCAACCTACCAAGCATATAAATTTTTGGGCTTAGGTGGGACGTTGGCATAACCAAGCATACTCATATCCCCCCCCCTCTCATCATCTCTCTTCTCTCCTCTTCTCGCTCTCTTTAATATATATATATATAATATATTATATATATATATATATATAATATATATATATATATATATATATATATTATATTAATTATAATATATTATATATATTATAATTATTAATGTGAACACGCAATAGCTCTTTGAGGTTCATAATATACAGGATTACCTGCAATCTTGCCAGCTTCTATACTCGTTACAGTAAAAGTATAACATCATTCTATGAGTAATAGGCGTGTATATATATAGATTTTATTAATATAATGACCCAAAATCTTCGCTTATTCTTAAATAACATCCGTCCAAAGGTCTTGATTATTTCTTAATATAAGCCCCCTACCGTCCCATCCCCACCCCCCCCCCCCCCCCCCCCCCCAAAAAAAGAAAAAGATCATGTAAGTTGTTGGAAAACCCTCCTCATGGAAGTTGTTGTCGCGTCCCCCAAACCATTTAAGATTGTTGAGAAACCGCCCTCGATGGCATGCAATGTCTGTCCGCCTCAATCATGCCAAAGTTGTTGAAAAACCCTCTCATGGATGTTCTACCGTCCCGCCAATGTCTTCCTATGTATCTAGAATAACACCGCCAAGAATATTTCTTAAAAACCCCTCCCCTATGATGATATTATTAATATTATTATATAAGTAGTATATTATATATATATATAATCATATATATATATATATATATATATATGGGAAAACATGAATTCTAAGGTGACACCCTAGATCCACCTAAAAACCGCGGCCTAAAAATTCAGCATCATTATCACTTTTTTTTATCCGCTCCGTTGAGACCTTGATCTAACACGTTCTTTGAAACACAACACACCAATTTTAGGGTGACGCCCCCCCCCCCCCCCCCCCTCGTGTTTTGACTCTTTATCCACTCGCTGTAATTTTAACGGCGTTTCGAATGAATAGAAACTTTTTGCATGGCTCAACGAATTGTCAAAACACAACGGCGTCACCCTAAAATTGGCTGTGTTCTGGGTTTAAGAACGTGTAGATCAAGTTCAACGAGCGGCATAAAAAAAATTAGAAATGATGTGATTTTTAGGCCGCGTCCTTAGCTGGTGGAGCCTAGGGTGTCACCTTAGATTCACTTTTCCCTATATATATATATATATATATATATATATATATATATATATATATATATATATATAATATATATATATATATATGTGTGTGGTGTTGTGTGTTGTGTGGTGTGTGTGTAATGTGAACACACAAAGTGCTCTTTGAGTTCAAATAAAGGGGACCACCTGCAATCTTGCTACTCTTACTCGTCTATATATAAGTAAAATCATTTTCAGAGTATAGGGTTATAATATAGTTTTTTATGAATAGAAGACCCCAAAATCTTCAGTATTCTAAATAACACCCCCAAATCTGTGAATATTTCTAAATAGCCCCCAAATCATGTAAGTTGTTTGGAAAAACTCCCTCATGTATGTATCCGTCCCCCAAATCATGTAAATTGTTGGGAAAACCCCCTCATGGATGTTGTCCATACCCCCAAATCTTCCTTATTTCTAAATAACACCCCCCAAGAATATCTTCTAAACAGCCCCCCCCCCAACCACCACTAAAAAAAACATGTAAGTTGTCGAAAAAAACGCCCTCATAGATGTTTTCCATCCAAATGACTGACCCAACCATGGTTAGCCCTTAACCGTGTAGGTTAAATTACAATAATAGCCTTGCTCAATAATTCTAATAACTCAACCTCCAAACTCTAGCCTATATCCCCCCTTCTCCGTTCTCTTTCTCTCTCTAAAATGTCAAAACCTAAGAACTCAACCCCTAATGAGGCTATTTAGAAAATGGGTGAAAACAATTTGAACATTGTTGCCATCAAGGGCATAATGGTCCATCCAAAACAAAATTTTAATAGTGACGGGGACAATATGAGTTACTTCTGACCGAGGGGTCTTTTTTCAACAACTTACATGATTTTGTGGGGTTATTTAGAAATAAGGAAGATATGGGGTATTATATCATAAAAAGCCTATAATATAATGCTTTCTTTTTTAATACTTTTTAAGTAATTCAACTCCACAGTATAACCAAATAATACATTTATCGATCAAACGGACAAGAACCAATGAATGCAAGCATCTACAGTCCAACTAAATCAAAATAAACAAAACGCACTTCGTAGAAATATTGCTCAACTAATATATCAACTGTAAATCCAAACGTTCAGCGTTTCTATTAGGCTCTCACCTCTTGATCTTCAAGAAAAGGAGAGCAAATTTGACAAAAAAATAAGTAGTTGCAGACATCATCAACCCATCCACGATACATCTCGGTCACGTGATAAAAGCATGACTGAATATTAGCAACCGCAGATCCAGATCGCCCAGTTCTGTGGACGGTCCAGATAATTCGTTGGCTGCTATAATTAAAACACTTAGTCATCTCTTTTTTATTAATAATAAATACTTAAAACAGGCTTTAACATTAAAAGCACGAAAATAGGGTTTTAGCGTTTCCCAAACCTGGAAGAAGATGTCGGTTGGCCAACGGAGCGACTTCACCGTCCACCTCGCCAGCTTGTCTCCCCACGTGACCGGCACGTGATGCTTCTTCAGATCGATCTTCAAGTCCGACGAGTACGTGTCCCATGGCTACAAAAATTTCCAAAAAAAAAAGAAGAAAATCAAGAAACCGCAAGAGAGAGAAAAAAAAAGAAAAGAAATCATCAAAACAAACGGAAGAAAAGAAAACGAACCTTAAAGCAAGTCCACTTCCATTCGCTGCCGTCCTCCTTCACGGTCTTGGGCGGCTCAACGCCCCAGTAGCTCGCGACCGCCTTCTCCTCCTTCCCTCACCGGCGGATCCGGTCACAGCCTTCTTCTCGGTCCATCACCACCTTCAGCCAGGGAGAGGATCGTACCGACGAAGCGAACGCCCACCGCGGTGACCCGACCAGACGGAGTTGGCTTCAACGCAGATATCGCCGCCGTTGAGAAGAGACGACGACCGTGCTTTGCCGCCAACGATCCCATGATCAAAGAGTTCATCACTGATGTTTCTTGTGGAAGAAGAAAATGAGGAGAGAGAGAGAGAGAGAGATCGTCGCCAAGAAAATAGGAGAGTGCTGGAAAAGTTTTTGAAGAATTTGTTAGGGGATGGTTTTTTTTGGTGCAGCTGTATTTATCAGGGTTTGTGCTTGACTTGGATTTTAGGTGCAGCTGTATTTATCCTGCCAATTCATTTGCCTGTGTAGGGGCTTTTTCGTAAATTCAATTTTGTAGTTTCTTGGGGACCAAGTCGGATGTTTCGTTGACAAGTCAAACTTGGAGTCGCAGCGGCTATGACCTGTCCAACTCAAAGGCTACGTCTGTCATATTTTATGATCAGGAACGCGTGCTATACACGTCACGTGCGATTTTTTAGGACTGCAAATAGGTGTTAACTGGGCTGATACGATTCGGATATAACACTTATCATATCAATATCTGCTTTCTATAAACGGATACGAATACGGATACAAATTATCTTCGGTAAAAAAAAAGCTTTAACCATATCCGTACTCATCGAAAACGGATACGGTTCGGATATTTGAGAATAGGAACGAATACAATCATGGATCTGGAACGGATATTCGACAAATGAATATGAATCAGATATGAATTAGTACCTCTATGCATAAATTACAACCAAATGCTATTAAAAGTATATTCAATAAACATGACAAGTCCATGAGATGCTTAACTTTGGCCTCTATATAAGCTCAAGACTGATAAAAAATCCACTGAAACTTAGTTTACCAACAAACGTTCAATCATGTGATACAAACTAAGAAGCTAGAGAAAAAAAAACTACGCCAAGCATGGCAAATCAACATGATGCAAACTAAGTTATTTACTGAGTTATTTTATTGACAATTAAGGTTTCTTCAAAGGCATCAAACATCGACGATGGGCAAGCATAAACTGAGATGCCAGAGAAAAAAAACTATCTCAATGCATAGACTGTAACCTTCATGATGATGCTGACCATATTTTAGTGTATCTTTGTGCACAGTTGGTAAGATAAAAACTCTCTTTAGAGCTGAACTTGCTATCAGGACCACTATCTAGGCATTTAACCAAGCATGTATCTATAATCTTTCCTACTAATGCAGTCGCCATAACTTTTTTCACAAAAGTTGTGAAAAGTTCATACCAACAAATAAATGGACGAAATTTGATCATAAAGTTTATTTATGTCTTCCGCGAATCTATCTACTCCGTGACTACTATTAGCGCATATATTTGTTGTATGCTTCTATTCTATTTAATATGTACCGCAAATCTATCTATTCTATGAGAATTACAGATGTTCTATCTATTCTATGAGAACTATAAATGTATGTGCTTTTTTTCTCTATCTAATTTTGGCAAAAAATGAATTCAAACATAGAACATTTTGTGTGGAAATGAAGAAGAGGCACATACTCTAGTTTTGGCAAAAAATGAATTCAGACAGAGAACATCTGGCAAAGACGAGGCGGGGAACTGGCGAAGATGAGGCGGGGAACTGGCGAAGATGAGGCGGCGAACTGGCGAAGACAATGCGACGAATGGCGGCGGCGAACTAGCG